AATCCATAAACTACGGAGTTGAAAGTATTCACTAATTCTGCATATTTTTACAGTTCAGTGATCACAGTTCAGTTAAGATCACAGTCATTGTGACTCAATCAGCGTTCGCTTTTGCAGGTGTTCAGCTCCAGAGTCTGCCAGAAACCAGCAGTTGCTTTCTTTGAATCCCTCGGAAATGAAATGCAAGCATGTCCTGACCAACAAGGCTCGACTTTTTGTCATCATTGCCATCCTTTCACTCAGCTGCTCACTGTTCATGATAGTTTGGCTGGTGTTTGGCAGCAAAACCTGTCAGAAAAGTTCGCTGTGTTCGTTTCGAGCCAAGAAAATGCCACGACTTTACGTCTATCGAAATCTTGCGATGAAGGAGGAGGTCGACTGCGATCAACTGGTTGACATCACAGCCCTCGATGAATCATCGGGAGAACCGGACATGATCCCCGAAACTGAGACCCCTTCGAAAAAGGAGTCTTAGCCAAGGGCTACCAACTGCCTTCAAAAGACCTGTGACTGAATGTTGTTTATGGTTCTATTGTTTCTCAGTCTGATTCAACTTGCTTACAAAAAAACTGAAACGACTATCGGTTATACAGTTATGATTAATACGGTTGGTCACGAATGTACAAATTAAACGATGTACTTGAGCATCAAGCTTGAAATCTTATCCATCACGGTGTTTCTTTCTAAATAAGAAGCCAGGTAAAAACTTGTCAATGGTAGAACTGAAGCGTATTTAAAGTGAACTTAAATAATTGGCTGTCATTTTTACTTAATGGGTACTCCCAGAACCGTCAGTTCAAATTCTTACCAGCCATTTCCTACTCCGTTTCATTTTTCAACATCCACAGTTTGGATGTTCAACTCACAGTTCAGTTATCGGTTATAGCCTACGATTCTAGGATAATTCAACAAATGCAAATATCTGTCATGCAGCAGTTTAGCTTTCCTCCATGTTATGAATCGGCAATGGTAGTTTTATCAATATATTTGCTCGATGGATTGTTTTATGTTATTGCTATTTCTTTTCATTTGAACTTATATTTCTTACGCATGATTTTCTTGGGGATCCTACATA